TCTCTGATACCGTGTAGAAAAATAGAAATATAAAATTATTTAGGATTTTATTGTTTGATTATGTACAAAGAATGGAAGTATATATAAACTTTTCCAAAAAGTTTAATAATAAAAATAAATCAAAGCTAATTATGAAATAAGAAAAAAAGTTCTCAAGAGGGGTCGTCGACTAGAGAAAGGAGTGACACACGGATTGCAATTTAAAAGTTATAAAAGTATCAATCTAATAGTTATAATCATTAATTCGTGTGCTCAAGCATTCTTATCACGATTGGTTAACTTATGGGTCTCATGATCTTTCAACACTTGGCATCCTCTAAGTTAATTATTATTTTTTATATAACATGGTGTCACAAAGAGGGAGGTAAATGATATAAAACCAACAAATCTTAATCAGTATTCTCAATTGTGTGAAATCACTTAAGTAAAAAGAAGTTAAACTCTTAAACAACTAGGCTCTTTTTGGTGTAATGATTGGAATTTGAATTTCATTTAAGAAACTCTGGAGTTAAGCGTGCTCATTTTGGAGAAATCATGGTATGGGTAATCTCCTAGGAAGTTATATCAACATGACAAAATCTTGAGGCCCTTGAACGATATCTTGATAGTTAAGAGTTTTGGCTGTTACAAATTATCACACAAATATTCCTTTAATCTTTGGCAATTATAGGCTTCGAAAATTTGAGCTTTTGGGGCGTTGGCCTGTCCGCCTTATATTCAGGGAGAGTTTTAAAGGATTACATTATGGGAAACAATTTTGGAAGGAAAATTAAATAGAGATAAAACACCACCAAGAGATTTCACCCTCTTAGCGAGGGCTTTAAGATCTGAGTTTTGGTTTCCTATGGGTGCAAGCCCTTATAATTAATTATCCCTCCCGATAATGAGAGAACACTTTCAATTAAGGCTAGTCGTTAAATAGATACTTAGTATCCAACATATAGTGGCAGCAGATTTAGATATTTAAAATTAAAAAATTTATCACATGTCACTTAAAGTGGATGATGGGGGGAATGATGATGAACCCGATCAAGATCACATGGTTTCGTCGTCCTGGGTCATTATGGTCCCTGATCCACTTAGTCAAAGGAGATAGTCGACACAAACCGAAGGATCATTATCAGCACTCATGAGTTACTTCGTATAAGGTACCTTATTGACTTGGGGTGAATATTTGCCTAAAGGATGAATTTGAGTTAATCTTAGCTAACAAAGGGAATTATGCCCTATTGATTATATCTAATAATCTATTACTCAATAGTAACTAATCATTGAGGAAAATACGTGCATTTAGTCATAATCGTAGGATAATGGAGTCGTTCAACTAAGCTACTGGGTCAGAGAACCATGGTCATTATCATTTATAAAAAAATTAAAAAAAATGGTCATTATCGTTTATCACGTGGAGCCATCCTGGCCAAGCCACGAATTCTTTGTGGAACCATCTGGCCAAACCATTAATTAGAGGACCAGTCATAATTATTCATTGCGTCTAGCCTTTTAGTCAAGCTATGAGTTTTGTGGAGTCATTTGACCAAGTCACCGGTTAAAGGACAAATACCACGTCCTTATTTACATGAAATTATTTGAGAATGGATTTGATTGGTATTCTCGACTGGATGTTTGCTCTTTGTGAGCTAGAATTATTCTTGAGTTCATTGCCCTCGTCAAATGGTTGTAGATGGTGGATGAGTTTTGTTTTAAGTTTAAATGGTTAATTTTAATTTTAAATATCAAAATATTTAATAAATATTGAGCTTAAGGATTTTGATGAAATTTGAAAATTAATCCCTCTATTGAGATTTATGTTCAACACGGTCATCATCATGGCAATGTTGTCATCGTGGTGTTGTTGTACTTATTTGAAAATATTTGTATTTATAGGAATGTAAAGTCATTTAAAAGAATAAAGTTCCCTTTGATTGAGATTAGCTTTCAATACGACCATCATCAAGGTGTCGTTGTAGTCATTTGAAAATGTTTGTACTTATAAGAATTTGGAGGCATTAAAAAGGGTAGAGTTACCTTCGGTTGAGATTAACTTTAACATGACCATCATCGGGGAGTTAAATAATTAGTTATTTGAACATTATCAACTTTGTTCGCTCGCTAACAGAGGATTTGGTTCAACAATCGATGATTATGCGATTAGTAAAACCCATAGTTTATATTTTATGATGAGTTTCATTTAGAGAGCCTTTGAAGGCCTAATGTGGACTTTAAAACCAAATATCTCGATAGATTTGTGATTAGGTGTTCATTTGTTAATTCAAGTCATGTCAACTCCAGTCCTTTCAAGTAGAAGGATGAAACTTAAACATTTGATCCGCGCAACATTCTTAGGCCTCAGGTTTAGGAGCTCAATACAGCTCCTAGGAGCTCAATACAGCGATAGGAGCACATGCGAGTGTTTAATTTGAAAATAGAATTTTATATTTGTAAGCATTTAATTCCCGTGCAACATTTTTAGACATTAGCGTTTGCAAACTTAACATGTTTGTCGAAGTACATGCGGGGAATAAAAATCTTCTTTAAAATTAACATGTATGTTTTTCAATATTATGGCATGCTTCTCAAGGCGATAACACTCTTCTCAGGTTAATCGCTTGCTTCCTATGGTCGTTGCATGCTTTTAGAGGCGCCAGCTTGCTTCTTAATGCATTACATTTAAGTTTAGGGAATATATTTTAATGCATGAGGGAGGATTTTAAAAATATTTAAATTTATCATCTGTGTAAGTGATTGTCATTGGAATGTGCATATGATTTCATTTAAAGTTCAAGAAACGCTTTATGTCCATTTATATAAGTGTTGCAGATCCGGTGGTGTAAAAGTGAGTTAAGTTTTAGCTATTGTATAGAGAAAAAATGTTGTTTAGTTCATTTTTTGTCTCCTCTAAATTATCATATCATTCAACATAGCTTGTAGATGTTTGTTCAATCAACACTATGAGATTGTGTTCGTTTCTTGTAAATGAGCTATATTATTTGCTACGAATCCCCTATTATCATCTGTAGGCTAGTTGTTCTATGCACTACGAATTTCCCGCTCCTGTTCATAGGTGAATTGTAGTGTGCATTAAAGTTCATTTGTTGTTCGTAGGCAAGTTACTATGGGCACTACAAATTCCCTGCTTTTGCTCACTGGAGAATTGTGGTGTTCATTACATGTCCATTGATATTGCTCATAAGCCAGTAATATTCATTGTCATTTCCATGTTATTACTTGTAGGCAAGAATTAGAAATATATTGGTAAGAATTTAAAAGTTCTCTCTTCCCCTTGATTGTGGAAGATGAGATCACAAAATATGGAACACAAATTTGATCTCATATGAACATAGTGAAGAATACTAGAGATGCATTGAAGGGTGATGATGGTCAAGCGCTAAGGGTCTAACTATGGTTGTTGAGTGATGACTAACAGATGACAGGAGTTAGGAAACGACGGTTTCTAATGATGATTGTTAGCATTGAACTTTGGATGGAGCTTTAGAGTAATTCAAATATTCAAATGCTCTATAATTTCAAGTCAAGGTTTAAGCTCTCATTCATGTGAATAATGAGTCTATCTGCCTGTAATTTTTCAAGTTGTTTAACCTGCAAAGTAGTTCCATAATTACATGGTTAAAAAGACAACCAAGAGAAACACCAAGCAAGCGAGTTCATGTTCATAACTTTTTCAACTTTTTTTTTTTATCTAGCATATAGATGTGACAACCAAAGGTTGTTCCAACCATAATATATATTGAAAATATACTTGGGGCTCATTCGTTTACTAGATGTTAGAAAAACTTGTTAAATTCACATTTGGTTAAATATAGTTAGCAACCAACAAATCTTCTTAACTCTCAATTGTATTTATTTCATTTGTACTCGAAAAATTAGTGAAAAAGAAAGCGTCATTTTCTAAATCATAATTTCTATCCAGAAGAAACCAAATTAGATGGTTTGGGTGGTGCAGAAGAGGATAGAAAATGTGCTAATAAGATTGTTGACAGAAAATGCTGAAGGATTAGGTAGAAAAGTAAAAAGCAGGCAATCGGTTATTCGGTTACACAATTGCTTAAATAAAAGCACGGATTGGTTATGATAAAACTAAGAGCATGATTCAGATGGTACCGAGTCTCTAAATTGTCTTCAAATCACTGTAAAAAGCTCTTTATCTATGTCATTTTCTTTACTTCGTTTTGTCTTGCTCTTGAAAGGATAGAAAGACTGTGTGGGTGCCTTTGCCTGGAGAGATTATTATTAGGTGCGGTGTCCGGACCGTCCGGAGACGAAACTGGATGCGCCACGTCACCCGGATGCACCGGGCCCCGGGTGACGTGGCACGTCCGGATTCGCCTCCGAACAAATCCGGACGCCGCACGTAATAATTTTCCCTTTGCCTGTCCTTAGAGGTGCTGACATGAATTTGTTTAATTTTGAAGCTATTTGGTGAATGCTTTACTGATTTGTGTTAATAATAACATTTCCCGTAAATTTTGGACTCACAACCTTGCTAGTAACTTTGACCCTGGAAACATTTGGAAAGGAGAAATGCTGCTAGTTTGAGAAAAATCATAATGAATTAGGATTCTAGCGCTATAATGAAACCCTGACAAATGAAAACCAGAAGAATTTTTTTTTTCTGAAATATTTTGTATGCGCTTTGATTTGCTTCCTATGAATTGCAGTTTATAACAGCTTTGGTAGAGTTCTAAACATCTCAGATTCTCAGGATATATTCTTTTATCCCTGTCCCAAACAGGTTAGAAAGAAGGTTGTCAGTTTGATCGGACAGCCAAGCAGGCCCAGCTGGGAGTCTCATCTGTATTTTTTGTGTTATTAATGCCGATGTCTCTTCTTCTTTCATCCATTTATATAGAACACAAAAGTCTTTATCTCTAAAAATTTAACCTAAAAAATTTCTGAAATGACTTGTTTATCGTGTTATAGACATATAGTAGTATCTTTAGAAGTTCTTACTTATGAATAACCTCATGATTCTGGTCTCTCAGATGGTGCAACTTCTGCTGAGCTATGCATCCATGGAAGTCAATGCCGTCAACAATCAGAACGAAGCGTCATTAGACTTGGCAGAGAAGATCCCATACGGTGAATCCCAGCTGGACATAATGGAAAGCCTAACAGAAGCTGGTGCCAAGAATGCCAGAAACATTGGCCGGATTGACGAGGCATCAGAGCTCCGGCGAACTGTGAGTGATATAAAGCACGATGTGCAGAACCAGCTCATCCAAAACGCTAAGACCAACCGTCGTGTTTCCGGCATCGCTAAGGAGCTCAAAAAACTCCACAGAGAAGCAGTTCAGAACACCATCAACTCTGTAACTCTTGTTGCCACCCTTGTCGCCTCCATTGCTTTCGTCGCCATTTTCAACCTTCCAGGCCAGTATCTCCAGGATGGCGCAGAAGTAGGCAAGGCTTATATAGCTGGTAAAACTGGATTTCGTGTGTTCTGTCTCTTGAATGCCACTGCCCTCTTCCTTTCCTTGGCCGTTGTTGTGGTTCAGATCACTTTGGTTGCTTGGGAGACGGACGCTCAGAAACAGGTGGTTCAGGTTGTGAATAAGGTCATGTGGGCTGCTTGTCTGAGCACCGGCGGATCATTTCTATCGATAGCTTTTGTGGTGGTGGGGGCGTCGTCGTGGATGGCGGTGACGGTTACCTTGATCGGAGGGCCGATAATGATCGGTACTCTGGTGATGATGAGCTACCTCGTCCTCCGGCAGCGGTTCAAGATCGGCGAAGATTCTCAAAGACGGATCCGCAGAGGAAGCGGAAGCAAGTCCTTCTCGTGGTCTCATCACTCTGCATATTCTGATCCAGATGCTTTATCTGATCATGAAAAGAAGATCTATGCTCTGTGAGTCCCCTCATTGCTTAACTGTATATAATGTACCACGGGAGTCTTGTCTTCTTCTTCTTGTTTGTTTTTTAATGGTTTGGTGATTGTGAATTGGACTTTTAGAGATGGCCTCAAATTTGAGGGATTATTTCGTGCGGAGTCCGGGCATAGAGAATCATTTGATTTTGTGACTATTAATAGTAAAAGCACAGTGATAAACAGAAATTGTGCTTTTACTGTTCACAGTCACAAAATTGAACGGTTCTCTGTATTTGAACTCTACACGTAATAATCTCTCATATTCAGCCAATTCTCAATCACATAAGGATTACATGGAGAGAGAGAGAGAGAGAGTTTGTGTGCCAAGCCTTGTTGATATATATAGATACTACGGCTATAGGCCAATAAGTGTACTTTGATGAAAATTTGATAGCTCCTTGATGATCGGTTTATATGCATGATTGAACAAATTTTAATAAAATTTTAAAAGTTGATATATAAATAAATGAGCTAAAATACTAAATCACTTGTTTATTTATGTTTGTGTAATGCAAACAAATAATTTATTAAGAGCACAATAAAATGTATTATTTTATTTGATGTTTTATTCAATTTTATTGTATCATTTTTTTTTTAAATGTGTATGCTTTAAATCATGAATATTATTATACTCGATAAAGGCCTAAACTTGACTTGACTCGTTTGCACTCCTAATCGTGTACATGAAGCGCAGAAAATGGAAGAAATCAAGTAGTGGAAGTCATGATTGCATAAAGAGAAAACAAAGCCTTAGGGTGAAGTTAAATGTCCTTTCAACTCATGATTGAATACAGAGAAAATACGCTTAGAAGTCACTTTTTGACTCACTTTTTGAGCTGAAATACAAATTAAAAAAAAGGTAATTAATTTGTATATGATATAGGAAAACTTATGCAACTATACTTGTCAAATGATATAAAAATAAACTAAGTATGACTTCATAGGTCCATCATTCATGGTTATCAAATTATTAGATACCACTTAGTTCCAAATATAGTTAGCCTAACCTAGCCCCAAAATATTCTATCAAAAACTATGATTGCTGATATGTCATCAAAAAATTATCTTGATCGGGCACAAATCTCGATGCAAAACCAAGCTAGAAACTTCAAAAAATAAATCCAGGATCACCTGAACTCTGATTTAGCAAACTAACAGTCAAATTGAGCGTCTCAGAAATATGAACCCAACGACACCAAATTCAACTCAATCCGAGCCCAAATGAGTCCAAATCAAGGACCCGAAGCGCCGTTGAAAAGTTCATACCACAATTTGAGTTGCTAAATGGTCTCCGATTTTAACGAGCTTATAGTCGAATAGAACGGCTCGACGAGACGAATCCAACGAGCCTAAGATCGCCGAATTCCGACATCAGTAAGATCTTCAAATGTCTGACGAATGATGCACTATCAAGGGATTCAATATCAGCCGTCCATTTGATCACTCCCTATTTGCCCATGATCTCACACCTATTTACAAGTTGTGCCACTCCAGAAAATCTATAAATAGAGCCCTCATTTCTCATGAGAGGGGATCGATGCATGAAGAAGGAGAAGAAGAAGGAGGAGAAGAAGAAGAGAAGAATAGAAGGGAAGAGACTCCTCCTCGACCACCACTGGAGTTCCGCCCGAACTCCAAATGACGTCGGAGTTTTGCCCGACTTCCATGGGACGCGAGAATTCTGCCCAAGTTCCATAGGATGCGGAAATTCTTCCCAATTAATGACAGAGTTCCCTCCTGACGCCGAAACTCCGTCCAAGTGATGCCGGAGTTCTCCTCGGCCACCAACAAAAGTCGAACTTCTACCTGATGTCGGACCTTCACTCGTCGCCAAGTTTCTACCCGACGCCGCACTTCTACCAGTTATCGGACTTTTGCTGGACGTATATCCGAAGATGGATTTCTTTCCATTGTTGGGCTTGTACCTGACGCCGTCCTTCTGACCTTCGTCGTCAGACAATAGTTCTTCCGACCTCCGTCGCCAGCCGCCTACGGTCCTCCTGACTTACGTCGCCCGCCGACTACAGTCTTTCCGACCTTAGTCGCCAGCCGACTACGGTCCTTTTGACTTATATCGCCCACCGACTACAGTCTTTCCGACCTCCATCGCCAGCCGATTATGGTCCTCCTGACTTACGTCACCCACCGACTACAGTTTTTCCGAACTCCTTCGTCCGTCGACTACGATTCTCCTGACTTATGTCGCCCGCCGACTACAGTCTTTCCGACCTCCGTCGCCCACCGACTGCGGTCCTTCTGACTTACATCGTCCACCGACTACAGTCCTTCCGACCTCTGTCTCCAGCCAAGCGTCCGCAGACTACAGCCTTTCTGACCTCCGTCACCAGACTAGGGTCCTCCCGACCAAACGAACACGTAGATAGTGATTCTTTGTATTCACATCATGTAATGCACTCTATAAAATGTACATCAAGCTAAGGCCTTCTCCCAAGGAAGGGCCTCATTTGTAATCAACTGCAATACTAGTGGATTCATTCGAACTGGGCTAGGCCCCGTGATTTTTCCCCCTTTTTAGGGGTTTTCCACGTAAAAATCTTGGTGTCTCTGATGAATGCTACATACTCTCTTATCTGTGTGCATGTCAGATTTTCATACAACACTAAGACGCTAAATTTTATATTTCTCTACCGCCGCCAATACTCCTGGACGCAACAGTTTGACGCCGTCTGTGGGAATGTGGTTCCGACTGGGGGGCAATTTTGACTCCAACCATGGTCAAATAGATCCTCCAATAGTTTCATCAAGATGATATTTCAGAAAAATTCAAGCAAATGCAAGGGTACTTCCAATCAATTGCAAGCTTTATACAGTCCATTGCTGGACTCCTACTCCTTGGGCAAGGTCTTAATATCGACCTCAAAAAGGCAGTAACGGTCTAAAGATAGACCATTCTCTAACTTTGATTTGGGATACACGGGGCCATCAAAAAAAGAATGTACGTACGAACATGTCGCCAAAAATCTAGCTCATTCAAATCCAACGTAGCCATCTTAAAGGTAAGCATGTCTGAGCATGTGCCTGTCCCATCCTGAACTTTGAAGATTCACGTGGGTTGAATGGATCATGATACACGACATCTCGCTCAGGGTGCTACCCTAGTAGATTGTCACAACAATCCGACTAAATAACCCATCATCTATCGGGCCCGACAATACTGTTACCAATCAATGCCGGCCCATCAATATGTAGACGTAATATTAGAGCAACATCTTATAAAGTAATACTCATCTCACCTTCAAGTAAGTGAAATGAGTTTATCTATGGTGACCAGCACTTAGCCAAAGCTGTAAGAAGATTGTGATCCATCCTAATATATTGCAGTTGACTAACACAGTCTAATCCTAAGATCCGAAGGCCTTCCATAAACCTTGGACAATTTATTAACCACTCATGAACCATAAGAAGATGCGAGACAGCTTTCAAAAATATTCTCTATATGTCACGAAGATTTAAGGACATTAGTAACATTAAATGAGTGAACGATCATCATAATACTTTAAATATAATCACACCTCATCCGGATGGGCTACTCTGTGTGACTCACGTAGTAAGGCAATATTGGATGTAGATTCATCAACACATGTTGCTACTCATCATCACCCTGTGCTACAGCTTTTCTAGCTTGATGTTTTCAACGAGCAGGTTGACTTTCTGCCATAATACCTGAAATTTGGCATAAAAAATTGTTAGTTTCTAAAAAAAATATAACAAATAAATCATTAAAAGCAACATTAATTATAATAGTCATTGCATGACATATGAATTTCATAAATAGAAGAAAGCAATTAACATAAATATGATGTTGTTACTTTATCTATGGCTTTCTTTTACAAATTTTATAAATTAATAAAAAAAGAACCAAAAGGCAAAATCAATAATAATATCATATAAATCAATTAAATCATTGAGTAGAAAACACATTTTTTTCAAATATTGATAATTTTTAAATTAGAAGTTTTGTTAATCAATTTGGGGATAAAGAGGGATATATATATGGTTAAGAATGATATGATGAAGAGAGCCTATATGATTGTAGTGAATATTAAATAGCTTTAGGTTAGACATTTTATACAAATTTAAGTACTCTTATTATTAATAACACAATTTAATGCAAGGATTAGCATTTCATACTCTACAATAGTCTTTTGTGTGATGAAATTATGCTTACTAATTGAAATGTATATATTTATTTCATAATATGAACATTTTGATAATAATGTAAGAGAGACTGATCAACAAATTCTTCAACATGTTCATCAATATGGAGGTACATGTAGTTTTGACCAATTATACTTGTATGATAATGTGCAGTGTAATAAAGAGAAGGATTACAACAACAACAAGTATAAAGTAACATTTAACCAACACACTCTTGTTCATATTACTACTGGAGAACAGACAAATACAAAATAACTTGGACTACATTACAAAGTTTTTTTTTTTCCAACTCCAAACATAAATGAAATAACAAAGTAATATAAACTAACTTTCACACCCGCACACACAACTCATACGCAGATAACTTGGACTACATTATAATATTTCAGATCAATACTTTCACGAATGCTTTGCACGGTGTGTTGGACATGTTGTTATATTATGTCCAATTTTATGACAATAACTGCATATCCTGTTACTTTGATGTCTTGGTTCATCCATTGTATTTCTATATCGAGTAATATTGGGACTACCGGATCTTCTTCTAAAATTTGGAGGGCTCAATGGCTACAAACCAGCAGCAGGATCATGAGTGGCCCAGCATTCCTTATTTGGTATTGTGTGAAATTCTTCTGAGTAAATCATCTTAATGTTATTCATTGTGTAATACTCTGAAATATTATCAAGATGACTTATCTTGATTGATACAGTTGAACTTCTTATATGGGCACATGGCATGTAATAAATAACAGGTCTTTCATAACTACATAAACGGTTAGCACCCGGTGTAACATCCACATGGTCTGATATTGAAAACATATCAAAAACCTAAAACTCGCGCATATTAATCCGTGTAGGCTATGGTATTCTTCTAGCATCATTTTCAAGTTTTCATAATTTAGCCTGGACTCATGGAGAGAAATTGTTAATACTCTGATGTTCTTTAGTATTAATAAGCTTGAGTCGACGAACAAATATTTGAACAACATTATAATATATGACAATAATGAGAGCTTGCATCGGTAACTCACGTACTCTCTTTAATATGTCATTAAAGGCTTCCAATGCGTTAGTTGTCATTATTCTGTATTAGAATCCACCATCAAATATCAAGGTCCACTTGAAAACATCACTTTCAACTAATTATTGATGAAGTTCAGGCTTTATTCTTATTATATCTAACATGGTCCGATTG